TTAAAATAGCCAACTTTTGCCTCCCATAAATGCCCACAATCGTACCGAATTAGATTTTTAAAATTGAACCTAGTTTACTCGTAAACATTAAATAACACGCGCAAGGGATTATGAAATCGACTGTATTTAGCATACAAAGCAACACATGTTTATTTAGACATGATAATTAAGCCTAAGATTATTATTACACAGTCTATTATTGAGCAGGAATTGAATGCAAATACTGTATGATTTACTACAAACAGGAAATAAAATTAAGTTTAAAGCATTTAAGCTAAAATATATGAGCTAGACAAAACTATTGGCACCATAAGGACTACATTGTATGCCTAACTTATAAAACGAGAAATACTTAATACTATTTAATAGTCGACTGTATTGTTGAGAACACATAAATATTGAGCACTTCTCACAAGACTTTTCACAGAACTTTAATCCCATTATCACTATTGAAAAGTGAACCCAATTTCTATAAATAACTTGCATTTTGTGTCAAAATATCAGTTTTAATAATTATTGCTTTTATTTATGGTTTAAGTGCGTTATTTACCACATTATAATCATCATAATTTATATATTCATTATTATTTTTAAAGTATTAAACAACAAAAATGCTATTTATTTAATGTATTAATTTATTAATTAAAATATGTATATAGCTAATAATGTTTAGTATATTTCGTGTTTAAATGTGTTTAACATATAAATAATGAGTGAATTATTGAAGAAATTTCCAATATGTGATCAAATTCCGACTGACATTACAATAAATATCGTTAAATTGCATGTATTTAAAGATTTTCAAGAAGAATCAAATGTATTGTTTGTCACAAACAATGATATGGTCTATGGGTTCGGTGGTAATAGCAATGGATGTCTGGGTTTGGGACACGATAGTTCCATACAATCACCACAAATAATACAACAATTATGTCATCAAAGGATAACATACTTTGTCAGTGAATATCCATTTATGTTAGCAGTGAATAACGTGAATAACATATTCAGTTGGGGTAGACGTGGGTATCATTATCTAAAACCAGAGATAATAGAATATTTTATTGGTAAAGATATTGTTCAAATCAGTTGTGGATATTATTCACAAGTATTGGCTCTCGGCAGCGATGGCCGGGTGTATGCCTGGGGTAATAATGACTCGGGACAATTTGGTCGTGGTGATACAAATGGATTAAATTGTGAACCAATTGAAATAGAATTCGCTGGTAATTGTGAAATTAAATCCATTTATTGTTATGAAACATCATCGTTTGCCATCACATCCGACGGACATGTGTTCAGTTGGGGTCAGAATAGTAACCATAGATTGGGACACAATATAACCGATACGGAAGTATTGAAACCCACATTGATTTCAAACATAATGAATGTAAAAACCATAAGTTGTAGTAATTATTGTACATATTTTAACACAACAAATGGTCTATACATTTGTGGCAGTTATCGGTCAAATCGTAATGTAATCACTGAAAGTATTCCGAAACATATATTTGATGATGAGTTTCAACAAATTTATTCGTTTAATGATTACATTTGTCACGTCTGGTGTGTATCCAATAGTATAATTTATATATTCAATGGCCACACCATGGCCAGAAAATCAAAATTTAATAATTTAGTTGCAGTATTCGCCCATTTATATCGAATCACTTATAAAACAATTGATTTGAGAGATTATACAATGCAATTCAACGAAGAACTACAACATCTAGTTATTCAAAACATTACATCGTTGGAAACAAGTGGTAAATTTGAAACATTGAGAAAATTGTGGCGTAAAACTACAGGTCAGGGCGTTTGCACCGAACTCATAGGAAAGGGAGGTTTTGGCGCTGTGTATAAAGTGGAGCCTAAAGTGGACGCAGAGGTGTACGCCATTAAAGTGGTTAATATTCCCGGTAAATGAACTTTTTTACTATAATTTGATTGTAAACTTATTTTAATCCCGTATTTTTAAACTCATTTTACAGCCGATAAACGCAAACAAGTGCTAAATGAGATAAAAAGTTTGGAAAACGTGCGCTCAGTATATGTGGTCAAGTATTACACCTCATGGATAGACAACGTCAACAATCGGCTATACATTCAGATGGAGTATTGCCCGCAAAGTCTGCGCTCAGTATTGGCCGCAAAAGCGCTGGCATTTGGCCGACAATTGGCGGAACCGATGAATCTGTTTGAGTATTTCATAGCGTATAAAATATTCAAACAAATCTTAGAGAGCGTTCAATATCTTCACGAATTGGATCCACCGGTCATTCATCGGGATCTCAAACCCGACAACATTTTGATTACCAATACATTAAGCGGTGATAATAACAATAGCCGGCGATTCGTAAAATTGGGTGACTTTGGTTTGGCCACTGTTCACGACACGAGCCGACACACTGACAGCCGATACGAGCACTCGGCGGTCGGCACTTATAAATATAGAGCGCCGGAAGTATTTCACCGTAAATATAACCATAAGGCAGACATTTATAGTCTTAGTATAATAGGACAGGAGTTGTTTGACATCAACTGTAATGCGTAAGTGTTGTCAATAACTATTTAATCAAAATATCAATTATTTTAAATATATTTATACGAATTTATAGCTCGCAATCGTATGAAGCAAATGAATCGGTATTCAAAAAAAGCATAGAATGTATGTCTGAAACACTGGTGGAAATGATGTTAACTTTGTTTAGACAAAGGCCTGAATGTTCGGAAGTGTTGGCCGATCATAACGAGTGGTCTATCGATAAGACTCTCGTCACGACTCATACGGATTTTAATGAAGTTTTAAATACACTTAAATCTAATGTTAATCCAGTTTTCTATGATATTTTGTTTTGGAAAACACAATAACATTACTTAAAATTATAATACTTTTAGCTTTTATTTTGATACATTATTTAAACAATTAATTAAATCTTTATATTAAATATCAAAATTAATGTATCAGCAAGTGTTGGCCAAATGTAACGACTGATCTATCGATAAGCCTTAACTTTATAGACATAGACACTGATTATGATGTGATTTTGTAAACGTAATAAAAATTTATGTCTTGTAACTAAAAAGTTTATGAATAAATGGTTGAATTGATTTTGAATAAAAATTGTCGACTTTTGCTAAACAAGTTGTATCTCTTTTTATACGTTTATCTCATTATTTAATATTTGTTTGAATTAATTAATAGAGATATTAAACAAATGTTTTAATAGTTTTACAGTTAAGAGTTATGAGAATAGTTTTAGTCAATAGTTTTATCAATAATTTAATTAACATTACATCAAATTATAAATTATAACATATAATAAAATATTATCAGCAAAATAAATATTAATTTTGTGCGTTAATTAATTATAATAGTAGATTAAAACTGTTTACATTTATTAGCCGGGCATACAAATGTAACTTATATCAGTTATCTATTGGATCATTTGATAAATAGGTTGCTTAAGCGCCTTCTAGTGTCGCTAGAATTATTAAAATAATATCATTATTTAACTTAACATTCTTAGGCACCAGAAACCAAGTTTCATCAAAATTGGTTAATTGGTTTGTATTCTGGAAATTTTTAAAAAGTGTCAGTTGGAATTATTTTGACATATTTGCACCAAAATATTTGGTCAAAAATTATCATATTTTTAAAGTAAAAATATTTTTTAAAAATACATGTTTGAAGTGATTATTTAGTTATTGGGATTCACCAATAGTCATCTGACAATAGTTTAGAAAAGATATAATAATTTTAACTATTATGAGAATCAAATGCGAACCGACTGAACACAGGCCGCCAATCGGGTTGACTACCGATAATGATATGGCCACAGTTGGGGTATCGGTTACTGTTGGACATTGAATAGCATATCATTAGATACATTAAATATTGAAGATTTAA